CAGAATTTGTCTAGTAACTCCTGCATAAAGACCAGTCCCTGATAACCCATTATAGGGCACAAACTGGGGTTATATCAGGCTCTAACTTCAGTCATGAAGTCGTGTTCTTTAACCTAAATCGTAATATGACTTGGTATTCTGCGGACCTAGAAACAAGTTAATAGACACCCTCTTATATTATTATATCATGTTAAACCACACCACCGTTCAAGTTTCCCGTTTAACAGTCCAGGTTTTTAGGTAACATTTAGCATTTTTGAAGTGATGCGACAGTGCTATCAGTGTTGATATCGTTGCTAAACGCTTAGCTACTATCTTATATGTGCTAGCGCTAATAACGTTAGCTATCAAACCAGCAATCGTTCAACCGAGTTTCTTTGTTTAAGCCGCCTCTTCTATTTGCATGGAAATGACTAAACATGTTAGCAAAGTTGCGGTACAGTATTATAGCTAACACGAGCAATGGCTGTAGGAGAGGGCAAATATCATCAGCTAGCAAGCTAGCAAGCCAACGCTACCTCACTTCCTCTGCGAATCAAAATTAAGCATTGTAGCTTGCTGCCTTGAATTCAGAATTCTAGCAACTTAATGGTAGGCTTGGTTTCATACCGTTTTGCCAACAAATGTTCTACTCTTGGATGTTCTGGTAACTTAATCCATGGGGTGAAGCTGTAGCAATCTGTTGCTCCTGTCTGTGAGTATTCTCCAAGATTATGCTTGCGTGGTTACCAGGTAGCAACTACGATCTCTTGTACTGCGTAACACCGCGGAAATAGAATCCATCGCAATTTACTTACGCCATTTACTTAGGGTAGCCGCACACCACTGTACACACGAATCAGGCCAGGACGGCACCTATGTGAAAGCCAAAAAAACCCGTTTCCTGTTTTCAAAGAACAACTGTAGTTTAGCGGTTTCTAAAGCGAGACTCAAATTCTAAAATGAAAGTCAACAATTTTTTTAAACATAATTCATGTTCTATTATATTCATAATTATAACTATAATTCATGTGAATTAATATGAATTGTATATCCATGTTGTCTAGAAATGTAATAGGTCTTTTTGATTGCAGACATTGTCACAGCAGGAAAAACGCAGGTTTTACTAATAACATTAATAATGTCTCTTCAATTCAGGTGTGGCAGTAGACCATGACAGTGTAACAGTGAGCCAGCAGTCAATCAACTGTCATTCATTTTATTAATGACACTTGTGTTTTTATCACTGACATTTCAGTATGTCCATTCTCAGCACAGAATTTAATGTCTCCTCTGTGATCATGGCTACATTAACCTACAGGTTGGCTCCTGTACAAAAATTAGCTGAAGGGTCCCTATTAACCCTCTGTACACCTTCTTGTGTGTGCATTGTATAAATTATTTCTAGGATTGATTACCCAGCCCCAGGTTGGTTGTGTGGTAATTAATTTTTGACACAATTTAATTTAAGAAAATTCACCATCTAAGAAATACTTAGGGTAACTCTTCAAGACAGGTAATAAAGGATGACCTATAGGACCTTATGTCAGTTGACAGTTGGTTTTGATAATGAATATTCCTATATTTTAGCAAAACCTTTGGTGCCCCCAGTGGTCAGAGGCCCTTGGGTTTTGCCTAGTTAGTGAGCCAGCTGGTGACCAAGAGCATATTAAATTTTCAGAATCAGAAAAACTCTAATTATGGCTGCAGGGAAATTGCTTGTTGCATGCCTATAGCTGCTTGGCACTAATCCCTGCGTTAAGCTACGGAGTATGGAGTTAGGTCTTCTTTAGTGACAATTCTCAATCATGGTTCAGGAACTTTAAGATCAGATTTTTGCCAAGACTAATCAAGGCTTATAAAACATTCATCCTGCAATCATTTTGAAAATGCATAGTTCATGGCCCTAAAGCATGCACAGCGTTTATTCATTATTCAAATTCAAAGTCACATACACCAAAACCACTTTGGAGCAGGGAATCTCCTTTTAAATAACTAGGGTTTCATTTCTGTCACAGCCCTAATATAGGTAGAAGGGAAACTCTGTTGTCACACAGTGTTTCCACACCCATTTGCACATGGGAAATGTAGGATTGGTATGATGCCCTTTATCTTTACTGTTGACTAGCAGTATCAACAATAACACTGATAACACTTCCTCTTAGTGGCTTCAAAAAGTATTAAAACCTCTTCACTTTTTGAACACTTTATTGTCTTGTAGATTTCATTGTTCATGGAAGAAATTCAATCAATCTACACTCAACAATCCATAATGTCAAGCACTGTCAGATTGGATGGGAAGTGTATGTCATCTTCAGGTCTCTCCACAGATCCACTTCTAGCCATTGTTATGCTGAAAGATGAATGACTGCCCCAGTGTCAGGTCCTATGCAGCCCACCAGCTATATCACAGTAGGTCTGGTGTTTGCCAGACATAGTGTTCGGAGTTCTGCCCAAAGGGATACATTTTTTTCCTGTCAGACCAGAGAATCTTTTTTCCCTCATGCTCTCAAAGTGGTTTGAATGCCATTCAAAAAACACTAACCAGGCTATCATGTGCCTTTTACAGCAAAGTAGCTTCTACTAGAAGTGGCTTCTAGTCACTCTACCATAAAGGCCTGATTGATGGAGTGTTGCTGAGATGGCTGTCCTTACGCCAGGTTCTCACATCTCTACAGGACATGGTCACCTCCCTGAACCAGGCCTTTCTTGCCCGACAACCAACTGCAAGAAGAGTCCTGGTGGTTCCAAACTTCTTCCATTTCACAATTATTGAGGCCACTGTGCTTCTGGGAGCGCTCAAAGCATTACAAATGGTTCTATACCCTTGTCTTGATGTATGCCTCACCACAATTTTATCAAAGAGGTCTAGAGGTTGTTGGTTTGGTTTTAGTCCTGACATGCAGTGTGAATCGTGGGACCTTACATGCAAAGGCATGTGCCTTTCTAAACTATGCCCAATCAATTCAGTTTTCCACAGGTGGTCTCCTGTCAAGTTCTAGACACATCTCAATGATAACTACAGGAATCAGGGTGGACCTGACCACAACGTGGAGTGCATCATCCCTAAATACTTTTGTAAATGAGAGATTTCAGGGTTTTTTTGTTAATAAATTAGCAAACAAATCAAAAAACATGTTTTCACTTTGTTATTATAGGTAACTGAGTGAAAACAGTTCCTGTCATCTCTATGTATCTAGCTTCATGGCAGTAAGCCCTGAAGGTGGCTGTATGACACATTCCCCTTTGACAACAGTACATTCTAGACTGTTCAACTTTCATTGCACATGAACCTAATTCCTGGAAAAATTAGACGTGTCATGATTCAAAAACACAGCAGATATACAGTAGCATGATAGAAAGTGTTGTATCAGGCAAAATGGAAATACTAGGGATGAGTCAAGGTCAAGTGAGGAGGTTTACTGTTTAAATTTATTGGGGATACACAAGGAAAATCCCAGAATTTTCCCAGAATTCTGTTGTTGAGACTAAAGCCTGGAATTTGGAATTTTTTTCGCCATAATCAAAAGGTATCAACCAGGCATAGTAAACAGTGGCAACATGTACTGAACAATGTATTGAGTGCACGGTCGTAACTATCTAAAAACATCTTTTTGTTAAGAAGATTACTTGTGAGTGCTGGAATTCTGTTTGTCTTCTATCAGTCAGGTGTTATTTGAGAGTTGTTCATGGGTGCGCATCAGGAACTGATTGCTCCTGTGAAAGCTTGTTCATCCATCCAAGGCATTCCCCTGCTCTCCCAAACTGAGATAGACCTCTTCACGACTAGAGACATGGGTGTGTAATTACGAAACATATGGTTTTGTGTTCGAATCACTTTTCCTTGACTTTAGTGGAAAGTGTTGTGAGGTCAATGACAACTGGAAAGCAGAACTTACAAGGAGCTATGAAAATGTGTGATGAGAAACTCACTTTGCTCACATTGGGTGAGCCTTAACATGCATTGTGGGTCAGACACACTTTATTTTGTAAAATTGAATTCATCAAAGGTCGAAGTACATATTAAATTACATATCTAAATTAAAGGCAATACCTTAGAGATTCTGTCCAGGTTTTACAGCTAGGTCAGTTCAGTTAGCTGGGAACCTCACAAATTATTTTTGAAAAGGTACTTAAGGATAATTAAGAGGGACAACGAAGTGGTTGAGAAACAGAAGTGAAAAGATGCTCTACAAAGTAAACACTTTATAGACGAGATGACATGACTATCACTTGTTTCACTTTATTAATGCAAGAAGATTACATGAGCAGTCTCAGACAGGTTTTTCTGAGTGAGGAAATTCACTGGTTCCACTTCCCCTTCTTCCCCCATATGACCCTTTTTAATTCAGTTGCTGTGAATTTATCTTCATCTTTTATAATGAGCAAACATAATCTTCAAGATTATAAATTTTTATAACCATTTCTCTCAGCTGTACATTACTATGATTAACTCTGAACTTTAGTTTCCTCTTTCCACAACACTGAACATTCATTGTGAGTTAAGCAATTATATTTAATGTGACGTATTCAAAAATCTTTTCAACAAACAATCAGCAGCAGATTGTTAGGGGTGAAACACTACTGTATTCCGTAGATAAATGCTTGTGATCGATTCCAAAGAATAGGTGAGTGCGAGTTAGCAAGTGAACAGGGAAGTGTGTTTTGACGTCACCCATAGTGAATACATGCGTTTCCACACGCAAGCACACACACACAACCCTCGCAACCATGTGATTCTGTGGAAGCCTTCTTTAGGTTACTCGACAGTAAATTAAATACGTTTGTCAAATTTCATTCAAATAAACAGCAGTTAAATACAGTGCTACATTTGTATCATATGGCATCAAAGGCAGATCAAGTTTTGTGCAATTGACTCCAAACAGGCCACTGTCAGTAGGTTGTTTTTCATATGTGATTTAAAAAAACATAACAGCCAAATGACTCATCTCAACAGCTCCACCCATCACCCTACTAGAGGAAGTCCCTTGCTCTCATTCTTTCACACACACAACAGGCGAAGCAGCATGATGGTAAGAACTTGTTTCACCTCTTCCCTTTCTATCGTCTGGTTTTTAAAAAGTTAATTGTATTGCTGTGATTAAGGACATTATTTAGATAATTATGCCTCGCTGATGTCATCAACTAATTCTCTCCATTAACATAATTTTCTGTATGAAGGAAATACTTGCGATGTCATCAAGGAGCAGCCAGTTAATGCCATGTGTGCGTGTGTGTATATACAGTATGTGTGCAGGATCATAACCTCTCAAAATCAAAACCTTTTTGGTTGATGGATTATAGCATTCAGCAAACTCACAAAAATTAAGTAAGTCTTAGCTGCAAGGAAACTAAAACCTGTATGTGTATCAGGAAATCTTTTGTCCACTGTAAGATTAACTATCTTATCATAGGAATAATATGTGTGAGTATTTGCTCTTGGATAGAGGAAACTTTAGAAAACGTTACTCACCTTCATGTATATAACAATACTTGTGACTACGACAGAGTGAAAGATGTCAATGAGGGCATCGTGAGTGCTTACAGCTAGTTGTGTAAATACAGTACAGCCACAGGGCTCTTATTTCAGTTCAGTCTCTTTCGCACCCTACAAAATTCTTTTCATTTCTATTTTTTACTCACATGAAGTATCACACATCTCACATATTAAAAAGATGTGAAACTCATGTGAGATGAGTTCAAATAAATGTATGGGACTGATATTTTTGCTTTTGTAGCTCACTTGACAGCGAAAGCCTAACCATGGTCTGCACTTGTTGCCTTGAAACATGAATACAGTGAATACAATAGAATAGGTTCTGCTCAGTAAATCATATAATGTCATGTGGGAATCCCCATGCCAGTAAAGCCACATTGTTTTAATTTATAGTCACTACTATGACTGTATAGCTAATGATTAATAAACACATCGTAGCGAGCACACAGTTAAATACACAGATTGAATCATGCCACTCAGCCAGTCATTACAGCCACAATGTTCTCTGTTTTTCAATTCTTCAAGTTTAGTTGCTTTTATGTATTTTACAGTATATTTATATATTGTGCAAATTATTAAAGTATGTAGGTGTCTCTACATGCGGCTGTGGTTCAGGAGTTAGAGTGGGTGGGACGGTCGGTAGTTTGATCCTCCCATTCGCATGTCAAAAGAGTCTTTAGGCAAGATACTGAAGCCCAAATTGCCCCTAATGGCGCTACCATCAGTAAGGGTGAATGCATGTGTTTGTATGGAATGTATGGATGTGTGTGAGGGTGAATGTAGCCTGTATTACAAAGTGGTTGATAAGATTCTCGCATTCAAGTGAATGGGAAAGTGGTCTCAGACTTTTGGACCCCACGATATATAAAACCTTTTATATAACAATAGTTCAACTATACCAAGGAGGTCTTTATCCCAAATTCACCTCTCACTCCCTAAACATGAATTTTGAAGAAGAATAGGAATACCTCTCAATACAAGGAAACCACAAACTTTAGCTTCAAATATTGTATTATATTGTATCATATTAATATATATGATGCCTGTTGTTTCTATTAGCCTCATACAGAAGCAAGAATTCCATAGTTATTATTATCTCTGTCACATTCCTTCTGGTATCACTTTGGCTGAAACTAAAGCCACCATGTGCAGTACTTTGGGTAAATATATGGTCCTTGGGAATTCCCTCTGATGTGGTTTCTGTTTAGGACACATGCTGCAAAGCTTCATTATGAGGCATGATGTGTGTGTGGCGGTGTTTCCCCTGGAAGTCCATTTTTGTATTCAGGTTATTTCTTTGTTGCAGACTCAACATTCTATGAATTTGTGTTTTCAGCATACAGAAAACTTTTCTCAAAAGAGTGACAGTTGCTTATGTAATTTCTAGAGTGCATGTGCATGTAATGTGAGTAAAGTGAGACCAAGTGTCTAAGAGGACAAGTGTGTGAAACACTTTGATTGGCTGACATTTTTCCCTTTCGTTTTATTTATCCTGCTACACCATAACCTACAACTGAAACAAATCATGCACTATTTTCTTCCTGGGAATTTCCTGAGAGTTGAGATCACTCTCAGCAGATCCTTTGCAGAGAAGTGACAGCACCAAAATCATTTCCTCATGAATGATTATAGATACACATCTAAAGCTAGCTTGTGAAAACTGAAAATAAAATCAACAGTTCTCTGTGAGGAAAACTGAATTATTGCAGGTTCATACACACACAGCACATTCAGTATGTACTAACTGAAACTATACATTGGCTGATAGTTTCGGCATTTGCTACAAAACAATAGAAAACTGGAAGGTACTGTTTGAAGTGAGGCAGCAGATTCCCCTGGCAGGTACAGGAATACACCACTCTGCATACAGAAACAGGCTTTCTCTGATACTGCTCACTGGGGCTTTCCTTCAGTTTGTCTGTTGAAAACACTTTTTGGGTGTGTTATTTCGGGATGAACTCATTTTCCCACTCGAGACTGACTGTGAAAAACCAGTTAGATAAGAGACGGTGTTTACTGTATACTTGCGTACTATTGACATTGATTACACAAACACTATCATTTAATAATGTACACAGTAGGCTATGTAAATTTATATGAATCAGCTGTAATTTTAAAGGTGCATACAGTGGTTTGTGGTGGTAAGGGGGGGGGGTCTATTGGTTTCTATTGCAGCAAAACAAAGGCAGCTACTAGCACCACTTATGTGAATGAGCTGCTTGAGTGCTCTTTGAACTTGCCACTCCAGTGATCTCCTGCCTGCAGTTGTTGAGATAGATACCAAATTAAATGAAAAGATAATCAATCACAGTGATTAACTTTTGTTTTTTCAACAGGCATCCAGTTGCAACCGACAGTATTTTCTGTAAGTACCCCTCAAGCTTTCCATCATCTCATGGTCATTTTGAAATTGACAATGTGGTGATATGATTCATATATATTCATATGTTAAGTGTTGTTCATGCATCCTGCATGAACCATGTTTTCAGCCTTAAAGAAAGACACTGACAGTAGTCTAAACATCATGACCTCAAGGTCCAACCCTCATCAGGACTTTTGAAGGATATTATTATTTGTGTGGGGAGCTTAAGAAACAGGATCAGCCAGAGATGTAGTCATGGAAATAAAGATTACTATTATCCATGAAAGTGTCATTTTAAAATTCTGATACCCCGTCTCCATAGTGACAGCATTCTTACTGGTAGTCAACCACAAAACATTGCCAGGAAAAGACTAAAAATCACCTGAGAACTAACTGAAACATATGAGTGTATCAGTTTGTGACTCTGAATCAGTCAGTGGAGCTATTGGTGTTAAGGGTTATCAACTGGAGAACCAGCGCTTAAAATGTATGACAGTAACATGCATCTACAGTATATTATCTAAAAGGACAAGGATACTGAGAACTTTTTTCAAACCTTCACTGAGTTAAATTTGTTCCTTGGGACTATACTTGGAGGAACTTTTGATTTAAAGCACCTTGAGGATCCAGAGAGAAACATACAAAAACATATCCTTGGGTGTGCACTTATGTTTTTTGGAGGGGGAGGAGGAGAGGTGGCACACTCAGCTTTAGAAAGAATGATTGTTGGTGACATACTGTAGAAGAGTGAGTCTGCTCAGATTTGATGATGAGTCAATATGAGCACATGTGGCTCCAAAGGCAGTGAATTGAACTATCTCAACTATCTCTAGACTATTGTTAAAAGTCTAGAAGTTAAAAGTTAAAAGTAGCCTATTGTTTGTGCTGTGAGCATGCAGTTTCTGTGATTGTAATGTCCCTGCATCACCCGAATAACCATGTAAACAAGTGATTTTCCTCTGTCTTCCAAGAAACCCAAGGCTTTCCCTGGTGGCTCTGCTTTGGTTATGTGCCATTTATGTCACAGGTAAGCACTTCTGTCAATGCATCAACAACATGTCTTCATCTTGGGTTTTGCAGTGAAACTAGTTGTTCATATAAATAGATCACACAAATAAGATGTGATATCATAGCGTTATGCTTGGTCACACATCAATGCCAAATATATTGAGTCAAACCAGAACGGCTGCTGGTTACCTTAGTTTAGCATAATGACTGAAAACTGAAGTAAGGCTAGCTGTTTCCCCCTGTTTCCAGTCCTTGTGCTAAGCCAAGTTAACCGGCTACTGGCTGTCGCTTCATATTTACCATACAGACATGAGAATGGTATCAATCTTCTCATTTCAAAGTCCCACCGGCCTCATCGACCACATTTCTGTTATCAGCAAAATAGCTATGATAAAACAATTGTGATAAAATGAGCTACCTGCTCATCAAAACCACACTTCAAACCGAAAAAGTCAGTGACATGCTGGTGAGGAGAGATGAATAGCTGTCAAGCTTAAGACATAGACATTTTTCTTAGATGTTGATGGTCAGTTTAAACCTCTAAAAATTTTGACCTTTATCATGCAAAACAAGAAAAACCCACTACTAGTCAAATCTTTTACACAGGAGGAAAGGACAAAGGGGAACTGAGATTAGTCTACTGCGTCATAAAGTGAAGCTCTCAAAAGGGCAAAAGAAAACCCTTTGACCTTCACGCCCACCCACAACCTAAAGTAAAAGCTTTTAAATCGACAAATGGCTAAGTGAACTGAACATTTTATTAGGAACACCACACCAATACTGGGTGGAGCCTCCTTTTGCTTGCAAAATAGCTTCACTTCTTTGTGGAATTGATTCCACAAGATATTGGAAACATCACTTTGAGATTCTGCTCCATGTTGACATGACTACATCACATCATTTCTGCAGATTTGTCAGATGCACATTCATGCTGCCAATCACCTATTCTACCACATTGCAAAGGTATTCTATTAGATTCAGATCTGGTGACTGAGGAGGTCACTGAAGTTCACTGAACTCATTGTCATGTTCATGAAACCAATTTGAGATTAAGTTGATGCACATGGTGCATTCCATCATGCTGGAAGTATTCATTTGAAGATGGTACATTTTAGCCATGAATGGAAGCATATGGTTAGCAACAATGCTCACAAAGGCTGTGGCATTCAAACCATGATTGATTGGTAGGGCCCAAATGTGTCAAGAAAACATTCCCCACACCGTTACGCCACCACCACCAGCCTGGACTGTTGAAACAAGGCAGGCTGGGTCCATGAATTCATTCACGTTTAATGAGCCTGTGCCCACTGCAGCCTCAGTTTTCCGTTCTGTCAGCTCAATCCAATCTCCCCATTATCCTTTGACCTGTCTCATCAACAAGGTGAAACTACCAGTCATCTGGATGTTTTATGTTTTTCTCACCATTCTGAGAAAGAAAAAACTCTCTAAAAGAGACTGTTGCATGTAAAAATCCCAGGAGATTAGCAGTTTCAGAAACACTCAAACCACAAACAATCATGCCACGGTCAAAGTCACTGAGATCATATTTTTCTTGTTTGATGCGAACATTAACTGAAGCCCATGACCTGCATCTTTTATGATCCACATGATTGTCCTGGCATTAATACATGTACAAGGGTTCCTCATAAAGATTTCAAAATAGAAGATAGATAGTTTTACAATCTAACATGCAATATAACAAGTCAAAGTTTTGGCTTGAAAAAGATGATAATAATCATAGCTCAAAATAGCCATCTTGTGAAACACAATTTGCCTGCAATTAAAGTTAATACATTTGTGATTTTTAATAGCCTACAACTTCATAGCCTATTTCTGTTTCTGCACCAGGCCTTGTATTCATTTCTCCCCTAAGACATTTTCATTCTATTTAATGAACGGTTTCCCAGTATGCTCTAACCTCTTAATCCTGATTACTTTTCTTTTCCAGAAAGTGCTACTCCAATTCACCTCAGAGGGGAGGTTGGTGGAAATGTGACCTTTCACTGTCCTGCTGACAAGAAAAAGGATGTTCAATTTTTCTACTTTCAAACCAACGACACATTTGTGAACGGCTACTATGATTCAAAAGATCTAAGGACATTTGGACCGATATGGGAGAACACAAGAGTGGATCACAATGAGAAAACTGTGGACATGTACAGACTGAACATCTCACATAGCAGAGTCTATGACTGCATTATCCAGTACAAAGACGGGCCTTTGATTAGAAATTCAATCAGCCTCAGTGTCACAGGTATGAGTGCGTTAAATTTAATATTTAAAAATGTAGTTTGATTATCTACATTTTGGGTTGTTAGTTAACTGTCGGTTTCTAACACAATGATGGAATAATACTGTAGGCTATACAACATTTTCAGTTAGGCACTCTTCTAGCGGCCCCATAGGCAGAAAGGTGGCCAGTTTCTTTCTTCAGTATTTGTGAAAATCAATGTCGAAAATAAAATAAAAATCTTTTTCTTTTTTTTTTTCTTTTTCAAAACATAGAAATAAGGTGTTGAAAGTAAAACATTTGCCAAATACTTGTGTGTAATACCACATATGAAATAGCTGTGCAATCACAGATGTGGTACTGCTGTGTTTTTAACTATTGAAATAGGACAAAGTCAGTGACTTGTATCTGAAGTGAACTGATCACTGAAGTATGTGCCTTCTGTGATCAGTCTGCCTTTACCAGTCAACAGGAAATTATTTACACTGCGTGTATTAAATAATGATCTTCATTAAGCTTTACTTTCTGAATATAGCAAGTGTGTTTTAATTACAGATTGCTTTTTTCAGTTTGAGATACAAGGATATTTTTCATACCCATCCCACAAAGACATTTATTTGACCGTCATAGTGATTTGACTTTGAATTCCTTAAGTGTAATTCTTAAAAAAAATAATATCTTGCTTTTATGCACCCTTCCATCACTCTCCCAATACTAGTGATATTGATTATCATATTCTTCCTAGATTCAGCCTTTCTCAATGGAAACAGAGGGTTGACAGTGATCACTTTCTTCTGTTTCTTCTAGCCAACTACAGTAAACCCACGGTCACAAAGTCCTGTGAAGATGGCTCCAGTTGCCTTGTGACGTGTGTGTCCTATGGTGGGTACCCAGGCACTGAGGTGATGTGGAACATACCTGTGTCTAAGAATACCAGCGGCCAGATGTGGAAAGTTGTGAACAACAGTGAAGTGCCCAATCCAAGCACCATGATGTACAACAGCTCCAGCACTGCATACTTTAATTGCTCCAAAGGAGAACTGACATACCTCAGCTGCTCTGTCGGTGACGTCACCTCGAACATGTTCTCAGTCTGTGAGTACTGACAGGACAAGTCTATTGCTTTCTTTACCAAAATCTGCACAATTTCTACCACTGGCTACGTTTTGAGAAGTGTAAAAGGCAATGGAAACCCCTTGGCATAGATTCCCTTTGACGGCTACTTTTCAAGGAATCTATGAGGGAAATTTTGCATCCTTTTAGATCCTAATGTTTGACTGTTTGACGCTCACAGATTTCACAGTTGTGCTTTGAGCTTAAATGCTATTTTTTTTAATCATCTTGTTACTGCAGCTATTGAATACTGTAAATCTATCCTGATGCTGTAAATACTTAGTAGTGCTTGAAGTGCATATTAAGTGGCAGCTTAGAAAGGTCCTCAACAAATGCACAGCTTGTCAACTGCTCAAGCAATATTTTTTAATCACTACAGTGCCCATCTGTTTGTAGAAATTATTTAACCTTTTTTTAAAAAAAATTAAACTACATTTCTGTGACCTAATGATAAAGATTTATGTCTTAAGTAGGAATAAATAGGTTTAGGGCTAAGAGCCACAGACAAGTAGTAACAGTTTTTGGTCTGATTTGTTGATAATAAGAAAAGTATGAAATGTTGCAATCCTCATGCTTTAAACACAACTTTTTTTGACTCTATAATACATTTGTTTTTATCCGTAGGTAAACCTAAGGTTGTACACGGCATATACAATCCTATGATAATAACAGCCATCTGCGCAGTTGTGGTTTTTGTCATTTCTATTGTGGCATTGCTACTGTGGCGTAAATCCAAGAAAAGAACGACAGGTAAGGATAGAGATTACATTTGCCATTAAGTTGCTGTTCTGCACACATTCATGTTTGTAAGAGCGAAAAGATATCAGTGCAATAATGTGTAAAAACTCATAATAGCTTCTACTGTGTTTTGGTTTCCAGGAGCACTAGCAGTAGATGTGAAACAAGGGCAGAGTGTGAGAGAGTAAGTGGATGTTTACCAGACACAATTGCCCCCATTTAAAAAGTCATAATACTTTGCATAGATAAATGTAATGTAAAAGGATAAAGCTTACGATGAGGAACAACTGCTATGAAGAAATCATGTCCCAGATACAGTACCTCAAAATATTCTCTGTAACTTGTAATACACATCATATACATGTCTCACATTTTTTTTATCACTACCATCTTGTCACCACTGATCTTATCTCTCCCTTTCCCCCTTCCTTTGTGTATTTCATTTTCTCCAGGGAGGAAATAGCCCTCAGCATAAAAGAGGAGGGGGAAAGGCATCCTGAGTGCTGACCTCGTGAAGAAGTACATCCGATTTTTATTCGGACCAATAATATTACCTGTTCTAGTCTAGAACTAAAACTGTATGTCACTCAAGTGTGCGTTAACATTTTGACTGACTGGCTTCATACAAGACAGGAATAGCCAGTACCCAAAAGTGTCCAAGGAGCACGGTGTCAATGTTTCAGTGACACTTGTGACCTTTAATGTTTGAGGAAGTATTCATCACTAGTATCCCTTTACTGGTGAAGGACAGTGCGTCATTCAACTAAGAGTAACTTACACTTCCCAAAAAAAGGACTTTTCTAATGGTTTGTGGTGAGTTTGATGTCGTGTACTGGGAAAAAAAACAATATCTATAGGGAAACATTTCCCAGAACCGTGAGCGGGAAAATCAAACGCAGACAAGTAGTTTGATGAAAATGTGTATTTGATTGTTACACTGACATCTCTGGGTACAAGTGTGAACTGTTACATGTGTCAGTTTTGGAATGAGTTTAATCATTTTTTGATACATATAATGTTGGATATTGCACTTTAAACCCCCCCCACCCCCAAATTTTTTTTTATATTCTGTTGTTTTTTTATGTTTGGCTTTGTAGAAAGACATTTTTTTAATTTAATGTAACATTTGTGTCCAGGGTTTTACTCTTCAATTCGTTTGTCCATCAGAAATGATCTGTAGCAGAACCTGGGGAGATAAATACATGAATGCAGGGAAGATAGATGTCAGAAGAGCATTTGCACATGAATTTGTTCTCTGCACTTTGAGATTCCAGTATTCCCATGTAAGGTGCAATAATGAATTAAAGAAAAAAGGGAAAGAGGTTTTTCTTTTATAACGAAATTACCGTTACCCTAATTTTTACTTCTTCACAGCTCCCTGCTCTTTTTCTCAGGTGACTGTTCTCGTGTGAGAGAAACTTTTTGTATGTACATATATTTTGGTAAATATTTATTTCATTTTATGTTTTTCTTCCTAAAAATCTAAATATATATTCTTTGCCCTGTTTACACTATTGGGTTAGAAGATTTCAGTTATTTCTCCTTCCTTGGAATTACAAAAGTCTCAAAGGCCTGCTTTCATTTCCTAAATCTGTGCAAAACACTCTGGTGTTTTAACTGGCTGTTTTTGTTTGTTTGGTATTTCCCATAAATTCACAGCTGTGTCTGGATCTCCTTTTTTTCTTTCATATTGTAATGTATAATCAATTAAAGCAGTGTAATTTAATTTTTATTACGTTGTGGGAAGAATCTTACTAATGTTTCCCTCACTTTACTACATGGTCAGAATATCCCTTGAACTTGACCTGCTGCAATAGATTGTACAAGTTACACTGGGAGGCTGGAGTGAGATTTTTTTGCAATCCAGTCTAATTGCCACTAGATGTAGTACTAGCACCACAGAGAGTGGATGAATATCCCGCTGGCAGAGTAGCTGGTGTTGTGCACTGTATCCTTTAACATCTGAATATTATTTTGAAGTACTACATCCATGAGCCTGATCACATTTGTCATGAGCTAGCCCGCAAAAGCAACTTCATTTCCGCCTGCCTGGGGAATGAAACAATGCTTATGCATTCAGCACATGATGTATAAATCAGAGCAAAGTGAACACAATCCTCTTAAACAGGGATACATATTGTCTCTCTGACCTCAATATGTGGTCACCTGCCAGGAGAAGGCTGAGTAGCCCTGGTTTAGTGAAGGTAAAGAGAAGGGAAATAGAGAGTGGGGAGGTTTGTAGAAGTGAGGTGAAATCAAAGGAGGGAAGAGAAGATGTAAGGCCGTTTGCTCATATGAATCTAGTATGTCCTGTCTAACAGAGGATATCGTTAACATTGTAGATACACATCACAGCAAACTGTTTTTCTGCCTCCACCCCTTGTTCTTTTTTTTTTATAGTCTCCCATTCTCTTCACACATTTTAATCTTTCAAAACACACACCTCCATCTCTTTTTCTCACTTGCTTTCTCCATGTCTCCTGAGTCACTGTGACAGGCTGTCAGTCCACCTCTATGCCCTGTGTTTACACTGGGCAGCAGAGCAGCACCAGGCTGGTTGCACTTCAGGAATGTAACCCCAAGGTCCCTGCCCTCCACCACCTCCACCTCCTTTTCCCCTCTCCCTTTTCCCCATCTCTATCCTCCAAATCTTTTTCTCCTTCTCTTCACTTTCATTCTGTTCCTTCTTCCCGTCATTCCCCTTCTGCTCCTCTCCTCCATCTAATTATCTTCCCATTTCCCCCATCACCCCTACCCAAACCTCCCTTCCTCTCCTTCTGCCACCTTTCTCCTCTCTTTCCTTTACCCACCCTTTCTCCTTTCTCTCCTCCGAACCTCCACTCCCCTTCTCCCTCGCCTTTTCTACTCCCTCTTTAAAATTCAGAGTGCATTGTCCAAGATCACTCACACCCCCCTTCCCCCTGTCATCATCCCCTCACTTCCTACACCACCCCCCAGCCCCCCATCTGTATGTCCTCCCTCCCCTCATTCCTCTGCTGTCTAACCCAAACAAACCAGGGAGGACTTTCCTCTGTGGTGGCTGTAAGAGAAACACACCACATGTCAGACTTAGTTTAAACATAAACATTAGACAATTTGAGGTACTGGAAAAGGATATGAGGTGCTTAAATTCAACATGAGATAGCGCTACTATTAGGAAATCTTAACACTAAAACTCACCACTGAATATACAAAAATCAAAGCGGAGAACAGTATATTTTGGTGTTTATTGGCAAAAGTTGACTCTTGAGAATGGCGCAACATCCACAGAAAGACTAAAACCAATGGACTGCACAGAGAAACAATAAAAAGCTTGTTTTTCAATTGGTTTGTTCAACAAACCAGTTAAAAAAAACAAACTGCAAAGTACTAAATTTGTTTGGGTCACAAGCAACACAAAGACATTTTCTTTATTCATCACGCCTTTGAAATAAGTTTTTTTTTCCTTTTACTATGAGGAGCTCCTTGCATTTCATTTGTGTGTGTGTTTTTTTTATGAATATCTCTGATAGTGTAAACTAACATGAACATCATGATATTTATTTAAAAAAAAAAGAAAAAAAAGAAGACATTTTAAAGGATTATTCAAACACCCACTAATTGTTTCCAAATTGAATGAAGAATTACAATCTTTATAGACACATCAGGAGTCCAGGCAAAGAAAGTAGATGTAATAATTGTGAACAGTTTAAGCAGACTATTCTCTTTTCCAGTGATGCAGCAGAGTGTGTAATCTCCTGCTTAATGGAGAACCCTTTCAGTCAGGACACAGTCCTGTGGCATTTCTCAGCAAGCGGTGTGTGACCTCTGCCACACTGTTCTGCGTGGCGCCCATACCAGGAGATTTATAATCAGATTATACTAGTTATGAAAGTCAACTAGATTAGTTTTAGTGCAGGGAGCCGGAGCACAAGGCATCGATTCACAGCGGGAAGGGGAGCTGATCAGCATGAGGGAGATTGCGCTGTTAATGTTCTCAAAATAACAGCAGGCATTTCACTGTCTCCGAATCAGATAAGTGTGTCTCTGTGTGCGTGCTTGTGAGTTTGTGTGTGTGTGCGTGTGTGTGTGTGTGTGTGTGTGTGTGTATAGCAGAGCTGTAAATATCAGTGTTTAGCTTTCTTATCATATCCCACTGCAATCATCCTAATCGTGAACACTGGTTTGAAGACAGAACATAAAAATAGAGCATCATTCATAGACATTATTGTTTTAAATGTTTGTCATTAGATAAGAACTGAGGATATAGGCATTCCTGGTATGATTTTAAACCATCAACAGCATCAGAAAACATTAATAAATAAATGTGTCCCTATATTACAAGGCAGTAGGTTTCCAGGTTGAAATCTTGTACTTTGAATTTTTGGTGGTGCGTGGCCCCTTTGTTTAGATCTTAGTAGATGTCTTTTGTAGATCGGGTTGTTCAGAGAAACAAAATGAAGCTCACGGAGCAGAGACGACAAGAGACCAACCGGGTCAGGAGGTTTAGCTCTGGTGCCTCAGCTGAGTGATCATGTTGTTGCTGTCACTGCAGAAACCCTCTCCCTGACCCCTAGAGACAGGAGAGGTGACCTGGAAGCATTTATCACCTCTGTGCTTTCTGACCCATGACCTGAGGCCTGATATTCCCCGGAGGGGAAAAGAGAGGAGATAAACAAAAAAGTGGTAAAGGGGGTGACCAATACAACAATATTTAAATAACTATTTATTATACTAAATTTATAAAACAGAAGCACTGTTTATGAGAGGAATTTCCATACTTCTGGAAGAAATTATAAAAAAGTTACAGTGTTATGAAACTGCTGGTCTGGGCTGTGTGAGTGCACCAGTGACAATATTTCTCTTGGTTAGAAGATGAAAACATTGCTGGTGTATATGTGTGGTCCTGGTTTGGTTGAGCCAAAAGTCATCAGCAGAGACCTGATAGAGCTTGAAACAAGTTGAGAGAGAGATACCGTGAGAGAGAGGGAGAGATGTGTATTGGCTTGGAGCCCAATGGAACTATTAACACCTCTCTGTAATGGTGATACACCAAAGGGTTTCTTGGCCAAGGCCTTTTAATCTAGGCTGTGACCCAATATCTAAAGTTGTGTGTGTGCGTATGTGTGTGTATGCGTGTGTATACGTCTGTAGATGAGTGAAATCTGAGCAGACATTGACTAGCGTCACATCTCCTTTTAATATTTATAGAACTGCTTAAGATGTGACCTTTACTTTTGCACACACATACACACTCACCCATGTGAAGAGAACACCGTATGCATACAGTGTTTTACTCTATGCTACACATCTGTCTGTGCATCTGTCTATGTTGTGTATACTTCTGCACAGTAGACATTGTTCTGCTGCCTGAAACGCTCAGACAGGTGATCGTGCTGAAGCCGACTGTCCCATGGGAGGATCGTGTGAGGAGAGCCAACGAGAGGAACAGAGACCAGTATGAGGGAATGGTGGATAAGATGCCCAATTGGCTGCAGACGGTTGGCAGCCTCATGTTTCGGTGGAGGCTAAACATCAAAGACTATCAGAAGTATTTGTAATGTGTGCTGTAGGAGACCAAAAGTGACATCATGCTATAACATGATGTTTTCTACTTGCTACCACATTTCACTTCTTCCTACTTTCTGTTCCACGGTAGTTTTCCACTTTGCGATAACCAAGGATGGATATTTACATTTTACAGTCAACTACTGTGAAGATTCCACTGCGTGTGACCTTATTTGGCTACTGTTTTGTTTTCTGTTGCACTGCAGAAGATAACAGCATGGCCATAAATTGCAGTCTTGGCTCATTTGCGTTTCTCTCCATGCCCATGAATAAAGAAGCCAGTGTTGATTAAAGAGGTAGTGTGGTTTATTAGAGGTTACTTCAGTGTATAATAATGGTCTGTAATCTTGCTAATAAGTTTAGCTGTTTGTTTTTCTTCTCCATTATATCAGGGTCAAGACATTACATAGTTTGAATTATTAATTTCAAAATCAACAACTGTAATTTCATCTCATCTTTTCTGATAAAAAAAAAAC